AGTTGAGAGCCTTTGGGCCACAACACTGGAGAAAATCTTTCCTTCCACATTTAGGAGGTTCATTTGACAAAATTGATAAATATTTGAGGAGTTTTTCTCCTTCGGAATCAGGATCCCTCCTGCCCTTCGCCATCCCTTTGGTTTAACTTGTTGCCACAATCATTAATTTCCAAAGATGTTTCAAGACCCTGTGGGTGTTCTTATAAAGCCTATATTGAACACCATTAGGCCCGGGGGCTGATGCTGATCTTGAGTCAGATGCTCTCAACTTCTCTCCATGAAGGGGCCCTTGTATCCATCTGATGCTCTGGTGGTTGGATTGGCGGCATGTCATCTGGAATGGTAGTTGGCACATGGCTCTGCTTGACAGAATAGGTCTTCCTCAGGTGCACCTCAAAGTCCTTTATAGGTACCTTAAGGCTCCCGTTTTTGTCCTTGCCAAAGAGGCATTTTACAAACTTAAAAAGGTCCTTGTAGAAGTAGGCCTGGGTGATTTTTTTTTTCTGATTTTATCGATTAATTCGAATTTAATGTTTTGCCACAATTACATTTTTTATAAATCGAGAAATCGCGATTTTGAATGGAAACATTACCAAACAAGAATTAGACATTTTGACAATATGTAAATGTTAACAGTAAAGAGAAAACAATGATCCAACCGCATGTCGGCGTGATTTAAGCACTCATGTGTGACGCTCTGTGAAGGACCATAAGTAGAATATATCACGCCATTCACACAAAATGCGCTTTTGTGTTGACAAAGATGTGATGTGGGCATTGGAATAGGAAAAAAATGCAGGAAGATGGTAGTTGAACTTCTTTTAACTTGCCGTTTAAAATGTCGTTTCATGCATGAGACTCTGCAATAGACGCGAGTGCAACAGTCAAACGCGTCCATGTTTACATAGAAAAAACAATGGAAAAGCAGCGTAATCTAATAAAAACCTGTAAAGAACTACTACTGTATGTCTGATATTTCATGTTTGCATCATGGTGACAGGTTGAAAGCTGCTGTTCATTGTTTTCACAGAACATTTATAGTTAATAATAGTCTACTGGTGTTATACCTTCAGTCATTTTGAATTTAAATTACCTTAACTTTTGAGATTTTTTTAAAGCATTTTCCCTTGTATTATTTCTGAACATATAATATGTATAAGACAAGTTTGCAGAAGATGAAGATCTTTTTTGCAAAGATATTTAACAAGTGATTTGTTTAATATTTACATCATGTTGACAACTTCACGTGTGGTGCACTTAAAATAGACATTTCTTTAACTAGCGGGTTAATAAAGAAAAAGTTACTTGAATCCTGTTGTAGTTACATTTTCAAGTTGACTAGTTAAAAATCTGCTGGGCCTGACCTCTGATACCCACTTCGTTCAGCAGCCATACATTTATTTTGTTGTTCATTATTCAGAATTTTAACAGTGCATCATTTAGAAGGAACAAACATAAAATTGGTTAATCGATGTTCATTTTGATTACAGCGGCTGGATTAGTGCCATAGCAGCGTTTGGCAATAACAAAGCGGTGGGCGTCATCATGATGGTGGTGGCGGCTTTCTTCACAGCCACTGCCGCACTGTCGGTCGTTTTACTGAAAATGGTAAGTAGCTCACGATTTCTGAGTGAAAACCTGTGGTTCTTTGGTTTGGATTCTTGGGTCATTGGTGTGATTATTTTCCAGGTTCATTCCCACTACCGTCGCACCGGCGCCAGTTTCCAGAAGGCGCAGACGGAATTCTCCCAGGGCGTCCTCACGAACCGCACCTTCCAGACCGCAGCCGCCAATGCAGCCACCACGGCCGCCCAAAGCTCTCTGCAGAGGAACTAGAACCAGGAAGCACCACCGAGATCCCACATCTCTTCCCTCACTGTCCCAGCGGTCCACACAGAACCCAAAGCCCAGCTACGCTCCCAAACGCTGCCCTTCTTCACCTGCTTTGGTTCTGGATCTCGATTTGGTTCCGCTTTGGACTGCAGAGGCACTACTTTTGTGTTTATTTTTTGTTTTGAAGCAGAAGGTATGAAGTTGAAATGTGTTTGTATATTTGTATGTATGCAAAATCTTTTCTGATCTTGGTTATGCTGTATATAAAGTAATTTAATGTTTCCCCGTCATCCATAATGGTACAGGAGTCTCTTTAAAAAAAAAAAAAAAGTGATCATGAAGGATCTCAAAACCTTCTCAAAGCAATGATTAGATGTTTATGTCATGAGAGTTTAGATGTTATAATTCTGCTATAATTTTACTAAAGGTTAGAGTTGTAAATAAAAGCTTTCATTCATATCTCATTAGATTTTCTGAAAACATTTCACAGTCCATATTAGTGCCAAAAAATAATATGTGCCCAGAATTCCATGGGCCATATTTGCATAATTAGAATCTTGACAACCTCGGAATCTTGACGAACACGGAGAACATTACTGTTATTGTCTTAATCGTAAGACTGAAGGTGGGATGTAGCTTTTTGCATTGGGTTTGTTTTTTTATAACCATGTAGAGCATTGTTTTTTCCTCTCATGTGTACAAGCTTATTTTAGGCTACTGATTGTAAACAGTCAAATCAAAATCGTTTTAGTAGTACTCAAGACTTAAATTTACGTGGTTGATTTTTTTTTTGTCTCAGAAAGTCCTAACTTTTGAAACAAATGTATAAACTGGTTTGCAATAAAATGTGCCACATAAAATGCCACTTGCTGGAAGGAGTTACATCATTTTGTCAAATGAGATGGTAAGATATTTTCCAAAAGTGTAAGTTTGAGCAAATACATTTTTTCTGATTAACAAATTTTGGCATTTGTGTTTATCAAAGCAAAAGCAGTGCATTTCAAGTATAATTCTCAGTCACATGATCATATCAAACACAAGAAATTTCAGATGTCTTTTAGCAAGTTGTATATGGACTTAAAAATGGGAAAAAATAGATTGTCCAATTTGCTCAGTCATTGTTTTTGATCTACACAAGACTAATTTCTCTAACAAACTTGATTCATGTCATTCTCTAAATTGTAAAATCTGCTAGATTAAATTATGGGGCCGAATGTGAAACTATCAGGTAGGTTCAACAGCACTTGAGTTTTGTTGACTACTAAAACTGTAGCTCCCAGCATGCTTCACATGGGACTTAATTTCAAACATTTTTGCTATGTATTTTAAGTATACTTTAATGTTTTTAAGCAAAATGAGGGGTGACTTGATCGTGTTTAATGTTCAGTTGTTGTGATTTAGAAACCTGCTTTACTCAAAGGCATTGATTTAATGCTTAGTGTTGAGTTTGCTAATATTTGCTATTGTGAGCTAATAATTAGTTAATACAATATTACAATTTAGTGTTGTGACAAAACTATGAAAATGAATAAATCATAACACATTAAGACCCCTTAATTGGATAATTTAAAAATAACTTCCATGAAGTTACGTAAACAAATTGTTTGATTCATGTGACACTGATGATAAAATTATGTAAATTCAACACTTTTTCAGACTTTAGTCCCATGTTCTTTGTTTTTAGGCAGCGGTGTCCCACAAGGCTTTGTATTCAGTCCATTTTGATTAGGCCATAACTTTCTCATTGATTTATTTTATCCATATTTTATCCATCAATGATCTTCTAGCTGTCTGAAATGAGCTGAGTACAAAATCAGCTTTGATAATTTATGGAAAGTAATGAGCTACATTGTAAAATAATTACAATAAATAATCATTCCAGTTTTTCTTCAATAACCATTGAACCGAAAACCACAAGTATCTGAAATATAAGCAATGTTTTCCAGCAAAAACCAAATGCAAATAGGTTTTATTTAATAATGCAACAAAATAAACAACAGTTAAATGTCTTTGAAACCAGTTGTTTACTTGAACATCATTGTTACATAAAATAGGTTCATATTTCACATGGCATCAGCGATTCATTTCAAATCCAAAATATAAAAAGTGCAAATGACAGTTGACGGTACACCGACCATATAACATAGTTCGGTGTCTTCTTTTTTTTTTTTTAAATCTTCCCCCGTTATTGTAAACACAAACAACAACTGTATTCATAAGCAGACCTTGTTACAGCCACATTGACATTCATGACGTGAAAAACTACACGAGCAAGGCAGAGTTTGTCGCTGATATTTTCTTTCGCTCATTCTTTGGGAGAAGGGATTGGCTAAACAGCACAGTGAAAACACAACGCAGAAAATGTAACCGTTCATAACTTACATGGAAAATGTTTACAAAGCAATGTGTCGTCTTCATATAAAAACCAACTGAAAGATGAATATATATATAAAAATTGTCCTTTTTGAGAGTGTACAAAGTATTTGCAAACGTAAGCAAACATTTGCAGTTTGTCATATATATATATTTATATATCTCTCAAAGTACAAAAATCTGAGTCACTTGGCATTAAACTCCTTCATGATGAATCTTTAGGGCCCCAAAAACAGGCATCAGGGTCCTGAGGAAGAGGAACGTACATCTCCGTTCTCACAAAGTCTCATGTTTGAGGAGTTTCTGAAGCACCAAACATCAACGTCACTCGATTCAGACTGAATTAAGATGGTCGAGATCTGCAAGAAGTCAGTATGTCCATGTGGAGATTTCCAATGCATATTCAGACTTTTAATGCTACCAGCGTTTGAGGACAAGAAATCTTCATTTCTCCAGAGATGAAACATTTAAACATGATGTAAGACACTGAAAAAAATCCATGAAACATTCATGAGAATTCATGAGCAAACAAAAATAATTGTTCGTAGATTATTTGTAAATTGTTCAATAACTGCTCTAATGTAAATCTCGACATTCAATTCTAATTCAACAGCTAAAGTTGTGATGTTATAGACACTGAGGAAATGTCTATTTGACAATTTACGCAAGAATGGTTTTCTTGGAATTTATGTATTTAGGTTTGTAGTTAAGTATTTGTACACACATTTATGTATTTAATAAGTGTTTGTATTTAAAAATATTATCTTTTTTAATTATATGATGGAATGGAATGCAACATTTATGTGAGAATGGTTTCATGATCCATGTACAAATTTTGGTTTAAATCGTTCATTATGTAAATGATTGCACTGATTTGAATGCGACAATTTACATAAGAATGGTTTTATGCATAATTTACACTAAATTATTCTGCTTGCATTTCATGAATGAAGCCCAAAGTTTGAGCATGTGAGGTTTTGTCCTAAGAAAAGTCCTAAAATGACCTTGCACACAATGAAAACATACATATACAGGCTAAAAATATAGAATACGTAAATACAACCCTCCAAAAAAAACCATTAAAAAAAAATTTCTGTGCGAGTTGAGAAAATGGCATCGAGTTTTCATCGTTTTACAGATTCTCTGCCATGCAGGATGGAGAAGATGAAGCGGTGATTCGTTTTCAGTCATTCTCAAGGCTGATCTGAGATCAGCGTTCATTCAAATGTCCCGGTTGTTCCTGAGGACGCGGTTCAGCCGTGAGTGATTGCAGTGGTTCAGTCTGTGGTGATGGCGTTCAGGTCCTTCATCAGACCCTCCAGGTGTGCCATTTCCTCTGAGAGTTCATCTGTCTCATACGTCTGAGAGAGAGAGCCATGCCATAAGAGCCGTGTTAGAGTTAGGATTGAGGGATGCAAGACAACGGAGGGAAAAAAGAGCCAAAAAAACAAAAACAGAAAGAGGAAAAGCGACAGGAACAAGAGTGAGGGTATCAGGTTTGATGAGAGTGAGAGTATAAAGCAAGACGCTACAGCGCAACCTACAACAAAACAAACAAAAAACGCATGCATTTCAGAAGCGTAGCACAAATTAAAAAGGAAAAAAAAATGTTTCATTTTTGGAGTTATTCGTTATACAAAATCAGACACAGAAAGACAAAACCATTCAAAATTAAGCCAATCAGTGAGTAAAAATGGAAGAAATAGGAGAAATAATAATAATAAAAAAAAATTAAACACATTCAAAAAAATAAATGTTAATGAAAATTGACAAAGTTTGCAAATATATATGGACCACAATATATATATATATATATTAGAAAATCACATTGAGAACTGAGATATTTTATTGCATAAAATAATGAGAAATTGTATTTTTTCACTAAAAATTTCTCAAAAACACAAACATTACAAATACATTTATGCTGCTCATATTACTGTAGCCCAGTTTGTGCTGAATCAGACTTATTAGCCATTAATATGTTTTTAAGATACTGAAAAAAGCACAAATGTCAGGGCATGCCAGGACCCCAAAACCCCCTCAGACCCCAGAGGGTTAAAAACTGTCTATTAATAGTCTATTTATTAAGTATTAAATTAATAAACTGCTTATTTGTCGTGAAAATAAAGTCATAATGCAAAAAAATCTTGCTGGTCCTAGAAATAGGCTTCATGTGCTTTAAGCTAAATTTCTTATTACCGTCCTTTGATATTTGGGCGAAATGTGAACCAGGGTGATCATCGTTAGCTAAAACTAAAACTATTAAAAACATTTGAACTCAAATGAAAGTGAAATAAAATGTAATAAAATATAAATATTAGGTGAAAAGCTTAAACTAAATAGAAATGAGAAACTGAAATTGGAGTGTTTAACCTGAAGCACTAAAATAAAACTAAAGCTAAAACTGAAATAAATAAATCTAATTGGTAATACATATAAAAACTAAAAACAAAACAATACAAAAGCACATAGAATTACAAAAAAATGAACCTAAAATTAAAATAAAAACTCAAAATACAAAAAAACTAAGGGCTGATTCAAAATATGAATAAAAACTATAATAGCATATGAATAATACTAAAATGGCACTGATGTGAACGAGACATGTTTGATAATGAAGCCTGCACTGAAACACAGTGTGCCATTGTGGTCACCTCTACATTACAGGAAGTGAGGCGTGTCTCCAGCACTCACCGTGTCCAGCATCGTGCTGGTTTCTGATTGGTCAGGTGCACTGGGAACTGTTACTGCCATCAGAGCTCGAGCTCGATTTAATGTCCCGATAGACGCTATCTTCACGCCAGGCACTGAAACACAGAGTAACATGCTATGAGCTCCACAACCAACCACATTCATGTTTTGGTATGCATGTTATTTAGGACTGAATAACCAGGAAACAGACCTGGCTGTGCCAGCAGAGGGGTGCTGGGTAATGCGGTCTCATAGGTGGGTTGGTTATGGGCGGAAACAGTGACGGTTGGCACGGCGAAGCTCTTGAGTGGGTGTGTGGGCCGAACGTGGGCCGTCAGTGGGTTCATGCTCGGTGGCTCTTCTTCTTTGATCAGCGCCTCTGTCTTCTGTAGCTCAGCTGTAGTGCAGGGCTGACTGGGGGCAACCAGAGGTTCAGGTGCAGGGGCCTGATTCCTCACAGACTCTACACACATACACAGAAAAAAATGAAGAAATTTGTATATTACTATATTATATGCACAATTAAATTAAAAAATTGCGATTATTACATTTATATTTTTTATATTTATATTCTATTACATTTTATAAAATATATATTTAGATTATAGTTTTCTTATAGAAAAATGTTCATATCTCTGTTTTATATACATACATGCATATATGTATGTATACAGTAGTCAACATTTGAAGTGGATCAAAAATGTTCATTAAAGTTGTTCTAAGACAAGAACGCTTTTAGGTTTTAGGACAACTTTGATGAAAGGTTTTGATCCACTTCAAATGTTCACTACTGTACATGTACCCTGTAAGTCTCATTGCTGTAATGCTGTGATGTGTTTTTATGTTACAGCATCACAGAAACCAAAGGAACCGGGAGCCGCTGTGGTGGCGCGTGGCGT